CCTAAACCCCTAAACCCTGAAGCGTGCTTGGCTTTCTTCTGTTTACTGAATGGCTCTGAATGGCCTTTTTGCCTGTTGCAGTCTCAGCCCAGAAAACCTCACAAGGTTGCCCATCTACGCTACGGTTCAGCCATTCTCCAAGACCCCTTTAAGGTTTTTTCTTTTAACGCTCCTCTTTCGGGCCGCATGAGCCTCCCGAGGAACCCCGGTGGGGTGAGCGAGGGCTGATACGCAGCCCTTTAGAAGCCTCATTGACCACACGTGAACTCGAGCTCGAACCGACTTGGAAGACTGCATCATCCTGCAACCCTGATATCATTTCTCCCCCTGTGTTCCCGCAGCCCAAAGAGCATACATATTGTCCAGTACACCCTCCAAGAGTAATCCTGACGCGTCCCACATGCGACTCGCTGACGGCCAGGATGGCTCTGATGGTTGTGGGCCAAGGCGAATCGAAATCTCCGCCCCGACTGCCACCTCCGTATCCCTGTGCTGTAAATCCTCGCCACGTTGCATAGTGACTCAAAGCCGCTTTCGAGTGCCCCCACCGGGTTGAGCATGTAACACCGTCCATTGCTCCCAGTCTCTGCACCTTGCAGCCTCATATTTCTGCATAATTTTTGTCGAGTTGCTGCATCCTCCTCTTGCATACACTTGGTTAGCCAGAGATCTTCATCAACCTCCTGCTGTTCTCTGGCTTGCCGTTCAGCACGAGCATCCCTTTTCGTCTTGCGCCATCCCCTGAATGTCCTCCTCCGTAGGCCCCTTGGAAGAAGCCGGTGCAGACATTGAGGTCTGCATCAAAAGGTTTCCTCCTGATCGACCTCCACATCAACCATAGTGAACGAGGGGTGGCGTGGCAATATTTGGCTACTTTTCAGAAACATCATTGCCAAAACCCGCGGCATCCCTTGTTGCATGATCCCAACATGTTGGGTGGGGATGTGCGAGGTGTGCTCGTCGCGGTCAAAGCTGTCTCTTCCCCGCGGCAGTGCCGGCTGCAGCTCCACACTATGGAAGGAGCTTCGAAACCCAAGGATGTATAGCCTGTATAGCCACCTTGCTGTCGCTTCTGCAACCGTCATGGTTCCTGTGCTTGCGCCTCTTCCTCGGCTTCCGCTGCTTGCTCCGGGAGTGTGTGGGCGGGCTCGTCGTGGTTGTGGGCGACTTACCTCCTCGATGCATCGACCTCTGGGAGATCTTGACCGTCCGTGTCGTGGTAGTGCCCTGCAGGAATCAGAGCACGGTCCATCACGGTCATCTGAATCTCTGGTAAATGCGCCTCTGTCACTGGGCCTGGAATCCGTCCATCGTGGTCCCCTGTCCAGTCGCCTGCTGTCTGGCACCATCTGCTGAGCTCGAAGCCCCTATTCCCTGCGGCATCATCTGCCCTTAACCGGCACACTGTGCGGGAAGGCCAGACGATCGGCCCATGCACGCCAGCCTTGCAGTCCAGGCGGTCCATGCAGCTTGTGCGAGCACGGCGAGCCCTGACCTCCGGTTCCCATCCAGCCCCGGCCTCATTCAACCAAAGCTCGGCTACAATCCATTTAAGCACACCCCTTTGTTCATCACTCAGCGGGCCTGCTGTATCCACCATTCATTCATAAGGTAGTCCAAGCTGAGCAAGATGAACATCGAAGTCCTCCATGTATTCCGTATCATCCCTGTCCTCTGCCAGAGTCAGGAGGTCGGAGGTGGCGTCCAGGACTCCCACCGGCTAATGAGGCGATACCCAATTTGCATACAGTCCGGCTCCTCTCCTCCATTGTGGGCCTGGCTCAGAACCATGGAGCTGATCAACACAAGCAGACCATCAAGGCCTACCTACCTCGTCTTTCACCCTCTTCATCCGCCACTGCTTCCTGTGGCTCGATATGCTCCGGGATTGTCGGCGGCTCAGGCGATGATAGCAGGACCGGGATCGGCACGTCCACCCAAAGTGCACGTATGTAGTCCGCCACCTCAGGACCATGGTGATCCCTGGCCTCCTGCATGGAGAGCCCTCCATTCCGCCAACCATTCCAAAGGTCAACACAATCATTCCACGACAGGCCATGAGCGGCCGTTGGCCCCGGCGCTGGCCCGGGGAGCACGGCACCCTGGCCAGAAGGAGTTGTGTCGGTTGGCACATGGCATTGCTGCTGTACGTCCGTGCTGGCACTCGCTCCACCAGAGTCCTGATCCCATTCGTCGGCGAGCTGTGAAAGATCGAGAATGAGGTTGATGCTTCCATTAACGATAGGGACCTTCATTCGTACTGACTCCCTGGGCCATCCTGCCCATCCGGTCTTCCACCACTGAGCTCCACCCAATCGTCATGATGTCCCTGTCTGTGTCGCCGTCAAAGGTGGAGAGCTCGGGTGTCCAGAGGTTGTGTCTGGTACCTCCCTGTGGAACAGCATGATGCAGGGCATCGTTGCGCGCACAGCCGTGCAAGGGCTTCCTGCGAGCCGTCGTGCGCCGGAAAAAATCCCGGATGCGGCGCCACATGTCTCGCACCCAGGCCGACGCAGTCGCGCCTTCGACCTCCGTTCCGGGCAGCACTCCACCCTCCAGAACCACCACCAAGTTCCTGCGTTCTGCCGCCCATGTGGCCCAAAAGGTATCCCTCCCACTTCGTCGACCTGTAATCCAGCTGGAAGGCCGCGCGAGCCGTTCCACCTGGGCAGAAGCTCAACGCCACCTCGGATGTCTTCCAGCAGGTCAACCCATAGGTCCACACCAGTTTGCATAAACATCGTCACCATCATCCGGGTCCAATCATCGGTTGGCGAGACTTGCCACTGTGCTCTGCCAGGGTCCGTCTTTCCATCTTTTTGATCAAGATCATCGAGATGGGCATCCGGTAGATTCACCTAAAGGGTTTAGGGTTTAGGATTTAAGCTCTATGGTTGTATCCAAGAACTTGAAGGAACAGCAGTAGTGAATGCCATGCAACCTAAACCCAGCTGAAGCTTTGCTTGAAGTCGTAGCCAACCGTCAAACTTTGCAGGCTGCTGGGTAGTTGCATGCCATCCAAGCTCTGGTTGAACCCGTCGCCAAACGTCAAACTCTGGAGGCTGCTGGGTAGTTGCATGCCATCCAAGCTCTGGTTGAACCCGTCGCCAAACGTCAAACTCTGCAGGCTGCTGGGTAGTTGGATGCCCTGGTTGATCTCTTGTCTGGAATACCATGCGAGTGACTTCGTTTCCTTCAGGGTAGCAACATCAGACAGAGTCGTCTGCACGAGTAGGTGCTCTCAAAGCATCGCAGCACCACCCGTGCCAAGCTTCCGCACCCCGCCAGATATACCAGATCTCGTCGTGCTGGCCTTGATCCACGAGTAGCTCAGACTGACCGATGACATATCCACCGGATGCCAGCACAACTGAAGCACTTGAGCCGTAGCCAATGGCTTAGCGTTTAGGGTTTACGGTATAGAGTGTCAAAACCAAAACCCTAAACCCTAAACCCTAAACCCTAAACCCTAAACCCTAAACCCTAAACCCTAAACCCTAAGGCTTCATGGACGGGGTCCAGATGGTTCGTCGGCTCATCCAGTACCAGCAACTGCGGGTGCTCCATGCAAATCCTCAGAGCTTCAGATGTTTTCGCTGGGGCCTCAGGGGTTCTTCAACGGGTTCCCTCAAGGGCTCTATAATGAGATCTTTTAGGGTTTGGGGTTTTGGGTTTAGGGGTTCCCTCAAGGGCTCTATAATGAAATCCCAGTCGGGTCTCAGAAGAGTTCTATGAAGGAGAAAGGGTTCTTTTACTGGGCTTAACCAGACTTGTAGAGGTTACTATACGGGTCTTAATAATTCGAGTACGGGTCTTGGGTATATGATACTATAATCAACATAAGGAACCCCAAAATTTAGTGTTGGTAATTATTGAGGCCCCATTTGGTGTTTGGAGTGGGTCGGGTCTAGGGTTAGACGAGGATGGGTTTAGGGTTTAGGGCCTAGGATTTAGGGAGCATGTTGTAGTGGTGTTTTGGGTGCTAGGTCTACGGATTGAGTTTAGTAGGATGGCCTTGGGCTTGCAGGCTTTCGGATTTGGAGGTGTGGCATTTCACAGTTTAGGCTTCGGGGTTGAGTTTGGAACTTGGAGATATGGCGTCGGTTTTGGAGTGGTTCGGGTCCGGGGGTGCGGGCTCATTCGATTCCGAGGGGCTTCCCTAAGGGTCCAGGTGCCCAAACAGTATACAATTTGGCCTTAAAGTAGTCCCTATAGGCACTTTGGGGCCAAAGTACATGCTATTTGGGCACATGGACGCTTTGGGTTTCCTCAAGCGACCATAGCCGCGTTTTTGTAGGCTCCTCGCCGTCAAAGTCTGTTCAGACGTGCTGCTTTTGTAGATTCGTATTATAAGCTCGACAGTGGGTTCTATACGGTACAAGTAGGTAAAAGCTGATTACACCCTGAACCCTATACCCTAAGTAGGTAAACAAGTCATTTTCGGAGTGTTAGGAAAACAAAGGGTTTGGGCTTACCCAAACCCCCAAAAGTAGGTAAAATAATGGCCCAGCGCTCACAAAAGGCTATTCTTCTACACACTTTTGGTGTCTAGGTAAGGCTTTGGCACACCCTAAACCATAGACCCTAAACCCTAGACCAGGCAATTGTTGCGAGCTTTAGTGGCTTCCACAGCACTGGATTCGGGATCTAAAATACTGGAGTCAATCCATCAAAAGAATCGAACAACGCATGGAACTTCTAAAATCTGTGCGCGGTAGTTGCTTCACATTCCGATGAGCTTGGTTGTAATTTAAAAACCCAAACCGTACCCATCAAGCCTCCTGCGCCTCCTGTTTCTTGCCAGAGGCTCTTCGCGAAGAGCACGCGCATGCGCTGGCCACCGGAGAGCGTCGACAAAGACTGGAAAACCAGATCTCCAGCCTGGGATGGGCATTTCACTCTAAGGTTACAAGTATGGGCCCCTAGTAAGGACGCTTGGGCCTTTCTAGAGACCCTTGAGGGTACATATATAGGGTTTAGGGTTTAGGGTTTAGGGTTTAGGGTATATAGTAGGTGTATAAGGATCCCAGGGTTAAGGGCCCATACTAGGGGCCCATGGCTTCAAACTTAGATTCACCCCGAGCCTTGACGTAACTCCCCAAGTACAGCCTCGAATCCCTACTCCTGAAACCGGCACGGTCTAGGTTGTACCTTAACCTACCAAAGCCTACTTTTTGTAGGTTCTTATTACAACCCTACTATGGAATTTATAGGGAACGCAACAAAAACGTAGGTTTTGGTAGGTTAAGGTAGGGACAGGTAGTGTTTAGTGCTTAAGGGCTGCTAGCCCTCCACCTCATGAGAAACGCACAAAAACCTGTACAAAATTCGTGTTCACGACCAGTTTAGGGTTTAGGGTTTCTCTTGTCAACCCCTCAACCCTATACCCTACATCCTAAACCCCTGAATCCGAAATCGAAACCCTGAACCCCAAATCCCGAAACCCTAAATCCTGAACGCATGAACCCGAAACCCCAAATCCTCAACCCTTAAACCCGAAATCCTAAACCCCTAAACCCCTAAACCCGAAACCCTTAACCGGTGCATCCCGGGCAGCCACACCACCGGCTCCCAGCTGCTTGCGGAGCTCCAGGTCCTGCTTTAGGATTTAAGGCTTAGGGTTTAGGGGTTTGGGATTTATCAGTTTAGGGTTTAGGCTTTAGGGCTTTAGGGTTTAGGATTTAGGGGTTTAGAATTTGGGGGTTTAGAGTTTAGTGCTTTAGCTTGCCAGATTTCCGGCTGAATAAAGAAGCCTTAGTCATTGGAATAGGGTTTTGAGAGGGAACTATACCTGTAACGGTTGTAGAGAGTTTTGTAGGATTGCACAAGAGTTTAAGGCTACAGGGGCCTTCATCATTAGAATAAGGCTTGGGGTACAGTATAGCACAAGGAACACATTGGTACTGGTAACCGTCCAAGCTTCTGTAAGCCCTAAACACTCTTTTATCATATGTATTTCAACCTTATATGGATTCGCGGAATATTGTTCAATGGTTTTTGCCAAATTCCGCGTACAAATTGCCAAATTCCGTGAACAAAGTGTCAGGCCCTTTCTTCGCGGATTTTCAATTTGTTCGCGGCATTTTGCCATGTCTTCATGGAAACTCAGTTGGAAAATTGCCAAATCGAACAAATTGCCATATTCAGCGACGGCCGGCCCTTCGTTCGTGGAGTATGGAAACTTTGGGCCAGGGTTCAGGGCTTAGGGTTCCGGGCCTCGTCAGCGTCTAATTCGGGTCCAGGGCCCTGGGTTCAGGGTTCTGGGTTCGGGGTTAGGGTTTAGGGTTTGGGGTCTAGGGTTTCGTATCATAGGGTTAAGGGCTTCAGGGTTTAGGATGTAGGCTCTAGGATTAAGGAAAAATCTAAAATCTGGTTTCTCAATGTTGAAGGTTTTTCTAAATTCGAAATTGCGATCTCGACTAGAGACTCTGCTGAACCCTAAACCCTAAACGCTAAACCTTAAACCTAAACCCTAAACCCTATAAACCCTAAACCCTGAACCCTAATTGCTATGCCTTTTTTTGACGGTGGTGGGTAGGCTTTAGGGCTTGAGAGGTTAGCTAGCGGCTTTGGCGCGTGGGGCTTTGGGCTAAAGGCTTTAGGGTTTAGGGCTAAGGGTTTATGGGGTTTAGGGCTCGGGCCTGCCCAACCGCCAGTTACACGCTCAATGCCGAAAGCTACATTGAGGGTTTAGGGTTTAGGGTTCCACAGAAACCTAACAGAAGGGCTACCCACTCGACATTTACGTACTTGACGTAAACTCCGCAGTAGACATATTCCCATCTAGCAAAGCCTGCAACGACAACCAAGTATGTGTTTCTTTTCTTTTGGGGTGGGGTCAGAAGTACCACACCCCAAGCCACAAACCCCCAGCACTGCGACCCCTTCATCCGAATCTCAGACTGACCGTACCAGGTAAGCTCAGGTAAACCCTAAACCCTAAACCGAAGTTTGAACCAGACAACCAGGCAACTCCCAGATCTAGGGTTCCTCTGTCTTGAAGCAGGCTTAGAGATCGGATTGCAGGAGGTCTGTGTAAGGGCTCCTCATGCGTTCCGAAAGGGTCTATAATGAGGGTTTAGGATTTAGGGTTTAGGTTTAGGGTTATCTGGGAGGGTATAGGATTTAGGGTTTGGGGCTATCTGGGCCAACTACGAGCGTCTCGAGGAAGTATCCTTCATCTTCGGGTAACACTCGGCCATGTACCTGCAGGGGAAGACACAACTACCTACCAAAACCTACTTTTTTGTAAGGTCCCTATAAATTCCATATTAGGGTTTGTAATAAGAACCTACAAAAAAAGTGGGTTTTGGTAGTTTAAGGTAGGTACTTGCGTTAAGCATGATCGTTTTCCAGGCTAGCCGGCTAGCAGTATGAGCAGTAGGGAGTAGGGATCCTTCACATCTTCTCTGTACGCTTTGGTATACATCCATTGCTCTTGAAGGGCATTGAGATCAACCTCTGAAAAAAGGCTTGATAATCTATAGGGTCTGCATATTACTGTTGACAAAAGGTCGCCCAGAACCCGTAACCCTAGACCCTGAATCCACAACTCAACCCTGAATGCTCCTCCTGAGCTCTCTTTGCAAGCTTAGTTCTTTCAGCCTGAACTTGAAACCCTAGTTATACTAACCCGAAGCTCTTCAGTTTCCTTTCAAACGCTCAAATCATAACTGCAAAAGGGGCCCAGAACTTCGACTTCTTTCCGCAACGTTACAGTAGAAGCCCAAAAAGTTGGAAACGAATAGCCTTAATCCTTCAGAGTGATGTATAGGGAATCCCAGCACTAATTGTCCACAATCCGGCTTCCAACCTTTTTGTGGTTTGCCATAAACCCTGAACTAAACCCGAAACCCCAAGCCCTAAATCCTAAATCCGTGACCCTAAACCACGTCCCAGGCACTCCATCGCCGAGGAAGTTCGGTTCGCCAGAGAATCGGTGTCGTGTCTCGGAGAGGCGTCGGAAAAGGGCTTGTGGTGTTGTCTTTAAGGGGTTTAGGGTCTAAGGCTTAGGGTTTGGGGTTTAGGAGGTTTAGGAGGTTTAGGGTTTAGGGTTTAGGGGCTTTAAGGCCTAGGGTTTATTGTTTAGGGTGTAGGGGGTTTAGGGTTTAGGGCTTAGGGTTTGGGCCTTAGGGCTTAGCAATAACCCCCTTTCTACGACAAGAAGACTCACCCAAGCTGAGCGTGCTCTGTAGAGCACGAAGGAAAACAGCAGCCATTCCGAACCTAGGTTTCAGTCCTCTCTAGCTGACGAACTAGATGAAGCTTCCAGTTCAGGGTTGTGGGGTTTACCTGTAACCGGCAACCCTAAACCCCAAACCATAACAAGGAACCCTAAAAAGGTAGGTCTTCTCGGTTGCGGGTTTAGGCCTTCAAGGCTTCTTTAGAGCCAGGGTAGAGGGTTTAGGGTTTGGGGTTTTAGGGCTTAGGGTTTAAAGTTTAGGGTTTAGGGCTTAGGGGTGATAGAACTCTCTCGTCGAGGTTCCTCAGCCGGCCGTGGTGTGTGTGTTGGCTCATCATGAGGACACGCACCTCGTTGGCCCAAATACCGAGCGGCGCTCCTGGTGAACGGGGCAATGAATGGCCCTGGTGGGGCACCAAGCGACTCGGCAAAAGCCCCGTGGTATGACAGTTTGTGACCGTTTAGCACGACACAACCGAGAGCTGTTTGCACCGTGTCGAAAATACGGCCACTTGCCGCAGCTACCGCGGTCCCGGTCTGCAGCTCTTTGGTCAGGAGGCTCGCCATCGTGAACCTCTCATGGACGACAGCAGGCTCGTCTCAGTGCCCATCGGTTTAGCGAATCCAAGAGCCCTCAATGACCAACCGAAAGAGCGCGCACTGGAGGCTGGCGGCTCATACAACTCCCAGCACTCGGTGACGCCCCAGCCAAAGGCGGGGGGTTCGGGAGTGGAGGATTTCGGGGTCTCTGGGCGGAGTGCGTAGCGCTGCTGGGAGGCTTGGCGGCTTGGCGGCTTAGGGTTTTAGCCTTTAGGCTTTGTAAACACTAAACGCTAAACCTTACAGGGTTCATTACCTGCTGTGTGTCTACGGGGGGGGTCGCTGGTGTAGGGTTTAGGGTTTAGGGTTTAGGGTTTAGGGTTTAGGGTTTAGGGTTTAGGGTTTTGGGCACACTACCTTTGTAAATCCGTAAGACGAGATCTGACAATGCCTGGAACTGGGTGAACCCTAAACCCTAAACCCTAAACCCTAAACCCTAAACCTAAATCTGACACGGCGAGCGCAGGACAAGGCTGGCAGGGCTTGCAGGCTGGCAGGGCTTGCAAACAATTTTGCAAACAGCGAGCTACAGAATCATCTACGCAGCGGGCTCAATCCAAAGACTTTAAGTCAAAAGGCACAATCGGCGACCCGGCATCGTCCGTGTCCTCAGGGCGGCTTCCAGGCGATGGATGCGATGCCTGAGCAAGGTGAACTGAGCCAAGGTCGCGTTGACCTGGTACGTGAGCTGGTTCACGCGTGAAGTCAGTAGATCCAGTCGCTCATGTACCGCCGTGGGTGCTTCCAAAAGCTCTTGCTCATGTTCATGCTGATCCATGACTTCGGCTGGGAGCAAAAGGCTAAATCTAAATGGTTGTTTTCAACAAAGCAGCCAGAACGTGCATTGAGTCCAGAATCAGAAAAGAAGCTTGCGCTGCAAGGCTGACTTTTCCATTGACTGCTTCAGACAGTCACGCGGCGATGCGCCAGCATCGCTCCAGAGTGCTTGTCTGCAGGACAAGCACTCCCAGGACTGAAGCTACCCTAACCTTCCAGGACAGTAGCAACAGCCCTGCAGGGGCCTAGGCAACGAAGTTTTTAAGCACCTGAGTCCTGCAAGACGGGAAACCCTTTATGCAAACATGTGACCAGTGGAAGCCCTGGAAGAGCGGCGCAAGCTATAGCGGCTACTCGTACTCACAAGTGACCACGACGTCGACGGGCCTCGCGACGAGTGAATCCACCAGCCATGCAAAGGCGAAAGACTCTGCGAAGGTTGGCCACGGCCGCCTCCTCAATGCCACTGCCAAAGCGAGCACGCCGGCCGGCCGATCTCAAGTGGATTTGTATGTGATCGACAATCCACCCGTCCAAGGGAGTCCCACAGGTGGCTCCGCCAGAAGTCGCCAAGAGGCTTATGGTATCGCCTCCTTTGCAGCCACTAGTGGCTTCCATCTCGCCGTCCCTGAAATAGAGGACGGGAGCACGGATCTCTCCATCCCAGCGGGAGCCAACGACGATCCCGTAGGACGGCGGCGAAGGGGGACGCTTGGAGGGATCCCCCAAGCGCCATGCAGCCAGCTTGGCCCCGTACGCCGCCGCGGCAATGTCCTGAGCACGGGGGGCCTCCACAGCCACGGCCTGGGCGCCAGCAGCTTCATCCATCTCGTCAGGCGAAGCCACTTCGCGATCCTCCGAGCCAGCATCGGCAACGGCGCCGCATGGTGCTCTCGTCGCTCGACATGCCGGCAGCAAGAGGACCAGCTGGGGTTCTATGAGCCTCGAACCTGGTCTCAAAGACGTTAAGGCCCGGAACCCCTTCAAAATCAAATATCAAAATTTCTCCAGAATCCTGGAGCCGATGCTTGAGCCAAAATTGCTCCAGAATCCTGGAGCCGATGCTGTGTATCGGCAGAGCAGCAATCAAACTGACATGCATCAAGGAGAACATGACAATCATGTTTTAACATGTCTAAAACACAAGTTGTGTTTGGTCGTAGTTTTTATGAAAAACTTTCCGCACATAAAATCCGGAAACGCAGTTTCCGAAATAAAGGAACACATGTCCAGAAATAAAGACCCGTCCATCGCGATGGAAGGTTGTCTTCCTGGGGGTGTTCGCACGTCCACGCAGCTGCTTGTTCCGCCCGCGTGGCGTTCACGGCCCGCTCGACCTCGTCTAAGGTGTCCTGGTACATGCGGAGAAGACCAGACGTCTGCGTCGAGCCAGGATGCAGAAGGAACAGCCATGTCAAGGAGTAGATCGAGATGGACTGCTGCGGATACAGGCAGGCAGTCGGCGCGAGAAGCCCAGCCATGCTCAGCTCGCAAGCCATGACCCATTCCCATGGCACGGACTGGAGCTTGGATGTGATATCCTCTGTGTGAGCTCAGGATACAGCTCACGCAGCGTCTCCTTGGGAAACGGCAGAGCTTCCAATTCCGCGAAGAAGCCATTGACGATGGTCTCGGATCGCAACCTCTTCGAAACATCGCTGTGGGTCTGCTTGCTCACAGCCATGGCGGGGAAGCAGGACCAAGGAAGGATGCTAACAATTAGCTGCGCTAACAAGCAGAAAGGCTCGCAAAAAGCACCAGCGAAAGAATGAAGCAATGACTCTGGGAGGGAAGCACAAACCAGCCCCCGCAGCATGCGCACACGTAGCAGTCCTCGGCCGTCTTCTTTTCCACGAAGCAGCGAGCATCCGCACTCAGCACATAATACGACGACACCACGGCAAGCCGAAGCAAAGGAGTCTATACAGCAGGCTCTTCCAGCAGCAGTATGGGGTTTTCAAAAACAGCATGATGCCACAAGCGGGAAGCCGTGCATCGGAGGAACCGACGCCGCTAGCGAGGGGCAGCGCCGGCGCCGGCATCCGCAGGCCCGGAGAGCACCTGGCGAAAGCGATCAACAAGAAGGACAGATGCTTCTACGCTCTACGAAGCCGCCCACGCCGCACCGCACCCGAGCTCGGCTTGGCACGGAGCGACAAACAGAGCGGAAGCAGAGGGACACGAGCAGACGCACAAAACCCTGAGGCGCAGACGTCCGGGAATGAAGTCGACGGCAAAGCATTCTCCTGCTCGCGCCACCACGCCAGCACTGCGTCCAGGGCGGACTCCCGCACGGAGGGCGCTGTAATCATCGTCAGAAGTAAGAGCACAGGCTGCCAGGAAGGTGTCAGGCAGCAAGCGGACATTCGCCTCGAGCAACAGACCGAACGGCTCCCGGGCAGCATCCCAGACCGTCAGAGCATGAGCAGCCGCTTGGCGAGACCAAGCAAGAACCGCCATCGTCTGATCCACAGTCAGCGCCGCCGGGCTCGAGGGGGCCTATGGGTAAACAAAACAATCCCAGAGGCCTCTGGAGCTGCGTCGGATCCCTTCGTTGCAGCTCTCAACCTACCTTTCCCTGCTCCCAGGCTGCAGTACTGAGGATCCGCCTCGTTCCCGGAACCAACATATGGGTAGTTCTCTAAATTAGGGTCCCTTTTAAGGTCCTTTTTATAAGGGTGCCGTACTATTTTGGGGACCTTGAAAGGGACCCTATTTTAATTTTAGAGAACTACCCATATTGATATCAAAACCCAGATGACCACTGCACCCTGTCTCTCCCGCAGTCCCGCGCCATCATGCACTCTAAACCCTAAACCCTCTGTGAGGACGGCTCCTCTTTTTCCAGGAAAAGCCCACCTGTTGCTGCCCTGCACTGGCTCATCATCCTTCACTAAACCCTAGGTTAGAGGACACTACAGGTGGCGAGTTTAGGGTATATAGGGCTTCTATAAGGCTTCCACAAGCCATATATAGACCTTCTACAAGGCTCCTATAACGGTAACTACCCACCTGAAAATGTCCTAGACTAGACCCTGGAAGACTGTCGCTTCGCAGACATGCAGAATGCCCGGCCCATAGCATTCGCCTATACCCTTGAGCCACTACGGAGCCTAATTTCTGAAGCCCACAAACACCTCACCCTCAGCCCCAAGAGCCCTAAACCCCTAAAGCCTGAACCCCTTACACCCCTAAAGCAACAAAAACCTAGCCCATCAACTCTTTAAGCCCTAAAGGCCCTAAGACCCGAAAAATCCTAAACCCCTAGATAAGACTCACCCAAACCCCTCATAAAGATGTTGGCGAGCCGCTGGCGCAAGATGGAAACCTTTAAGCTCTGATGCCTCCACACCTCGGACAGAGGGCTCTGGTTTTGGGGCTTTTTTTAA